AAACAACATGGCATAGCGGACGGCCTTTTCCTCACTTGCTTCTCCGTTGACCACAAAGGCCTCAGGGGCAGGGCGGGCGTAGGTGCGGACCGCGTAGAGGAACGCGCGGCCGCATTTCCGGTCGCCGTTGAAGGTGAACGGGGGGTTTGGTCGCAAGACCAATTTTGAGGTGAGGTTGATGTTGCCAAAAAGGGCTTCCGGAGTCGCCCTGGACCGGAGTCGGAGTCGGAATCGACGTCTCTGGCAAAGGTGTTTGGGGTCCGCCAGCATTATTAGCGGCGGCAGCGGCAGCGGAAGCCTGGTTGGTGAGTAAAGCAAGGGCCTCAGTTAGGCTGTTGATTTTCGCCTCGAGTGAGTCCAGCCGGGCGTCTGCGGTAGGAGTGACTCCGGACGGCATGACGGGTGCGGGGACCACAGGAGTAGAGGAGGAGGGGACAAGTGGCAGGGGCGGTGACGAGGGCGGAACGGACTCGTACTCCGAGCCTGAGTCAGCGCCGAACCTGGCAATCTTGTCCGGTTGATCCCGTAGAGAGTTTCTTCTGCTGTAAGGGCAACCCCGGAGGCCTGAGATCAAGGTCCTAGCAGGGGAGGATCCAAAGCGTGAACATTGGTAAGCGAATACAAATGAAGCTGACCTAGCAGGGGAGGATCCAAAGAGAAGAAACTCTAAGGGTCCGCCTGCTAGGTAGCTGACTATATACTGCTTGTCCGTAGCTGCCGCTGTCGGGCACAGAAGGCTTGGGCGGCATCACAGGCGAGGTCCCAGGGCGACCGTCAGGAGGGCGTTGACGGATCGGTGATTGTGCGGGCGAGATGGAGGGCCGGACCGGAGTCGGAACCGGAGTCGGACTGGAATCGGGCGCGTCTCCGGGCCGAAAGGGAGGTTCCCCTGACAGATATGACACAGATCATTGAGACCAAGTTCTCAAGTCATACTTCATGACATGTGTGACATATTGTCCCAAAAAAGGAAGTTTCACTAATAGGCACGTGAGTTGGGTTTTTCACTATAAGTCAAGGTTTATTAAATTAACTTCAAAATCCAAAATTATCCAAATTACTCTATATTGGACATGGTAGTAGAGCTTCATTAATTGAGTAAGTGTTCGGTTTAAACTTTAAACCTATCCAAAATTTATAATGATTAACTCACAGAATATGAAATACTCACAAAATATCAACTTTATTACTTTAGGGCTGACCTCGCTCAAATAGTATTAGCACTATATTGTTGTGAATTTCCCCTTCCTGTTCACTGCTTACTACTCATAGGATGGAGCACAGGTACAGATCTGGGTCTGCTTAACTTGACTCAGACCCTGACCCTGACTCAGACCCTACTTAAACCTGACTTCACTAGATAAGGTCGACTTCTCCATACAAGTGAGCTGGTAACATTTATTAGGAAGTTTTTGTAAAGTCATGACAAAGTTGTTATCCCATTCATGCTAATCATGTGTTTGTAGCTGAACATGAATGTAAGGGCAACCTCGCGAGGCTCGAAATCAGAGTCCTGAGCAGAGGGGGAATCCTTAGTGAAACTACTACAACAGGAAGGGACACTACAGACTCACCTGAGGGGGAATCCTTAGAGAACAAGCCGAGGAGCCCTCTGCTCAGGTGCACCACTATATACTAGTGACCGGAGTAATGATAAAGTGACTGCATAGCGACGAACGACGCATGGGAGAAGTCAGGTGTCGCTAATAGACCCTAGGTGAGTGTCGAGTAGCCCTCAAAGCTCTGGAGAGGCAGGTTTGGGACCGTGATGCCTAGGGAAGAGCCCAGGCATCCTTAGAAGGCCCAGGAAGGGCTTCGGGGGTTCAGGCTGCCTCTAGGCATCTCCACTTGTGACCGTGACTGTGATGTGACGTCTGGAAACGGAGAGGGGAGGCGTGGAGCAGAGAGGGAAGGAGTCAGTCTAGCCCAAGGGCTGGGGAGTGTCGGAGAGGACCAATGGGAATGGCGGCTAGCCATGACCACTGGAGGGTAGCAACAGGAGGGTCACTCGGAGACGTCCCTGGATGTCTCCAGAGAGGTGGAGGTGTAAGGGCATGCAGCCTGGGGCGCTGCAGTAGGCACGAGCCTTAACGGCAGTAGGCCTCACCCAAAGGAAGACCTGATAACCGGGGCCATGGTGGCAGAGTGGAGAGCGGAGCCATGGCAAGGCTCAGCCATCCGAACGTAAGCCCGAACGCTGACGTAGTGGAGAGACTCCCGGAAAGAGGTGGCCATGGGAGTTGGAGGCTGGGGATATGAGATGTGGTGGGGGTAGTGAGGAGGAGCATCAGGGTGCAGGGATACAGAGACATGGGTGGTGACATGGAGATGCGCGTGGAGACGCGGAGACGTGAGCAGAGATGTGGCACTTGATGGGATCAAGTGACGGCATCAGGGCTTCCCCTGACAACTGGAACCTCAACAATATTATACATAATATGATATCAGAATTTCAAAAATAATTTCCTATAATTTTCCAAACTGTAAGGGCACCCCTATAGGCCTAATATCAAGGTCCTAGCAGGGAAGGATTTAAAGAATAGGCATCGGGAAGCAAATAAAAATGGGGGCTGACCTAGCAGGAGAGGATCTAAAGAGAAGAACCTCCAAGGGTCCACCTGCAGGTAGCCAACTATATACTACTCATCTGTAGCTGCTGCTGTTGGATACAAAAGGCTTGGGTGGTGTCACAGGCCAGGTCCCAGGGCAACCGTTGGAAGGGCATTCACAGATCCATGTAGGGGGTCAGAGTAAAGACAGACCAGAGATGGCAGTGTCTCTGGGGTGTCAGAATGGGGGGGTTCCCCTGACACACACTTTCATTCCAGGCCTAATAGTACTTTATCTCTTCAAGTATATTTGATATGAACTATGTCTCAAGATGTACTAAGGCTATGTACTTCTGTTGCTACCTCACCAATGACACATTGTTTTATAGGTTCTAATCCATATAGACTTCCTGATGCTACATTAATCTAAAAGTACTATGTCAATTATTGACATAAGAACAATTGACATTTTGAACCTGCTGTTCAGTATCACTGAGAACTGCAGATGTCATAGAAGATAAATTGACAACTGCACTCATAGTCAACTCCTTGGTAATTTCTTGTCGTAATTGAACACGGAGATTGATACTGAATATTTCAAGTCAAATGATGAGCGGAACATATTTGATAAACATACTTTGCTAGCAATGCATTTGCATATAATGGTCCATAGACAAGATAAACAGCCTGATGAAATTTTAAACAATTAGATAGGAAGCTATATGCATGACAGACAATGTCAATGATAGAGTTGGAGGAGCTCAGAACATCCTATCAAACTATCCATTAGCTATATTAATACTCACCATTTAAACTTACTGCAGCTAGATTTGCAAATGAGACAACACTAGGAGCAACAGTTCTTTTAAAAATTTCCTTTTTTCTGTAGGTAAACTGACCTGGTAGAAAATCCAGTAGCAATTGCATATTGAATAATAAGCCAGACTATATTTTGTGTTGGACTAATCAGGATTATTACGAAAGCAAAATAATAATAATAATTGAAGTTTACAGACCTGTGTGATCTCCCTAGAGATTGTTGATATAGGATCTCCTTTCTCAGATAATAAACTAGTGCTGCTGCCAGAAGCAGATCAACTGTATTGAATATGACTCTCATATAATCACAGAAACATAACAAATGCTTACAGGTAGGTAGCAAGGCAGTGCCCCCAATAAGCTCTGACTTCTTGGCACTGTAGGAGCTAAGAGAGGGGTTGTGTAGGATCTGGCCTTCAATTGTAATAACAATGCAGAATCCAGTCAGACAGCCAAGAAGAAGAAAACCTGTTACAATCTGGTTTTTCCCACTTAATATCCAGACCCTGAAAAATATTAGAGTGTGCCAATAGAGCAAAATATCAATATTTGAGGTATTACCGGTAGAGCAGGAAGAATTGGCACAATAATGTTGATACCATGACCAGCAGAAAGGCACCACTGAATAATGGTGGAAGAGTTTCAAGTGCCAAGTCATCTCCCCATGTTGTGATTAGCTTATTGTAGACTGTCTGTGAAGCAATAATCAAATGTGCAGTGGTAACACTCCTTTGACCAAAACTTTTAGACAGATAATGCAGATGACATCATAAGCATACCAGACAGTTGCAACCTGTACAAGATTAATAAACAATAGGTCATCACTTGTTATCCATATAAACCAACCAAGCTTTTCATCCATCGGGAGTCATTGGGGAAATGGACATAATATGCATAGGTTTGGATAGTCACAATGCCTTGGAGACTAATCCAGGACCTTTCATCAAATGCATAATTGTGAGTTTCAAAATTACCTACTATGTTTCAAAGAGAACTAAGAGAAATAGGTCAAAGTTTGACATGGGGGACGGCTAAGAGTCCTTACGACCAATCAGTAGTGCACCGTATGTTTTGTCTATTGGGCCCATCGGGTGCTGAAGTAGTGATACAAGTATAATGGGCAGCAAGAAATAGTGGTCCCAGAAAGGACTTGCGGCTCACTTTATATAGCGGTGATCACATTTCCCCTACATGTGTGCAGGTGGGAATTCATGAAGCTGAAGGGCCAAAGAAGTGCCGGCTCCAACCTTTTGATCGATTATTGGGTTCGGTGGTCAATAATTGGTCAGAGAGCATCAGAGAACTCAGATATATCAAATTTTCATATGCACTCCCACGTCGAGAAATGATGCCTATGATGCACTAGCGGCTCGATATTGGCTGGATATATTAATCGTGAACTTGAAACCGAGGGGTTCAAGTTCCTTGACTCGAGATGAGATGCGTGAGCTTGAAACTCTCAGGCTCATCGGTAGCATAGTGCGTAGGGTAGTTCAGGCGGATGCACCATCTTCTGACAGCTAATGTTTCATCAAAGAAATATATATTTAATCAAGCGAATTATTCGCTGGCTAATCATGGAATCAATCTCAGCAGATAGATATTCAAGTTTCCGCTCAGCGTTGTTGCGGATTACAGGCCATTCCCCAACGAGTTGCGTGTTCTTCGCTGCTTGTCCAGTTCCGTTTGACGCTCCCACACCCCGTGTGGCAAAATATCGAGCTCCGGGACATCCGGACCCATCCACAACCCGGGCCGTTGTTCAAGACTGTTGGCAGTATTGTGATAAGCAACAACGGCGTCTGAGCGGATGTCATCGGTTGCATAGGCAGTGAGGAGTTTACTCACCAGCGTATTCGTGCTTCGTGCTACCCGGAATGGTCTTGTTGCACACTCCATTGAACTCCCGGCAAGTGATACAACGGAATTGATTAGTGTTAGTGTTATGCGCGGGGTCTGGAGCTAAGCAGGGCAGATTCTGCTTGACACAGCGATCGCAAGGTGGCTGTTACATTCAGGTTAAGTGACGGTGAGATTAAGACAGAAACATGTTGTTACCTCCGGCGCAAGGACGACGAAATATGTATTGAACTATACGGTTTCAATGATGAAGAGGGAACGCGAGTTGAAAAGGCGCACCGAAAGACTTTTGCTGATGAACATGGGATCGCCTCTTTTTACCCTTGCTTGGGCTTTGGCCAAATCGTGAAAGCCCTCCATTTCGTAGAACTCGTGCCAGTTTTCACCTTTGGGGGGCCGTGCAAGCGGGTAATTGTCCCAGTCTATTTCTTTGCGCTGGGGTGGCGGGGTGGGAGTCTTCTTCTTCGCTTTGCTGACCGATGTCGAGGGCACAGAAGCCGATGCTTCCGCCACGGCGGCTTTCTGCGTAAACTGGCCCTCCTTGTCCCTCAGCAACGTCTTTTTCTTACCTGCGGGGGGCTGTGCGGATTTAGTTCCAGGGCATCACTCGATCGTATTGATAGTAAGACGTACCACCGCCGACGCCTTGCTTTCCGCAATATCCATAGCAGCTGATTCGCATCGAGTCAAAAGCTATATGATGCAAGTAAGCCGGTGAGTGATGCAGACAAGCATGTAAAGTTACTGCACGCATCTCCTCCAACTGTGAGTCCGTCGCCTCAGAACTGACTGACGACACCAGTTTTAGTCTCATCTCGACCAGGTCCTGCATTTCCGTCAGGGAGCGTTGACGAGCGGCAACGTACGCACCTCATTCAGCTTCAAACGCGTCTTGAGGACGTCCATTGCCGGTTCATTTGGCTCTTTTTCATTCGCCGCGACCAACTCCTGCGGTAGGACCTCCGTTTAGAGGCTGGCAGGAGTCTGCAGAGCAGAATAAACACACCGCGTAGAGCTTATCTTTTCTGTCCGTGGCAGCCGCCAATTCGCTCTTCATGCGCTGCACTAGCGTTTGTAGTGTGGCAGCGGAGGCGGAGGATGCGGCGGGCATCGCGCTCCAAGGGTGATGGACGTCAGAAGCAACCCGTATCGGGCCACGTGACTTGACTGATCGTGTTTACGTGGGAACCTGCCATCCACATATAGGAACAAGAAGATTTTCCAGTCCCCACTGGCAGGGCCCAAACCACCTGAGCCCCCCAACTGAGAACTCACGTTTGGCCTATTATTCATGTGCGTGCCTATTTGTACACAAGCACAATGTTCCCATGAACCCCAACGTGCTCCTTGTGGATAAGTAGTAGACCGTGCTCAACTTGTGCTCTACAGCAGGCTACGGTACTTGAACTGAGTCAAAAGCCTTCAATGCCAAGCGATCGCAAGTCGGAATGACAAAATGGCGGGGTTCGAGAGATCGACCTGAGAATGGATTGCTTCGAAGAGATTACAAGAATAGCATCCTATTTTTCCATTATCCCCCATGGTATCCTTACACAGAAACCAGCGTATAAACAACAGAACAAACAACAGCTGCGTTTTGTCTCCGATTATCTAACACCCGCCGTTTAATTTATTCTTGGGCACTGGTTGGTGGTAGCCGTCTTCCCAAGTTGTTAAGTTGGGATTGGTGTACGCCTCGAGGTACCTGTGCATGAACGTCAGATTGGCGCTCGTGAGATCGCGGAAAAAGAGACGCACGTATTGATATACTGGGCCGTCGGCCGTTCCGGGGTATCGCAACCGACATTTATTTGGTTGGGGTCCTGATAAACACGAATCCAGTCAATGCGCATCACTGCAGGCCAGGTCAAGTGCTTAAAGTCGATGTCCCAGACGAAGCCATGGGAGAGACCCAAGTTGATGAGAATATACTGCGTTGGAGAATGTGAGGATGAGATCGAACGTCGAAAGTTTGCACAGACCAGTGGCTCGCGAGTGACTTCTCTGGGCCCAATCTGCGCAAGCTCATTCTTGCCGACAGCACCCCCACGCATTGTCCATGAGACCTTGTTGTCGGTGACCCAGGTTATGTACTGAAAACGCATGAGCATCATCGGGCAATCAAGAGACGTGGACGGCTTACCGCGTCGTCATATCCTGGAATATACTCGAACGCATGGACGGCAAAACATGGCGACTTGAGCTGATAACAGTCCTGGTCTACGACAAGTTATGAGAAAACCACGAAATAGAAACATGAGACGGACTGGTTGTTGATACAACGGAAGTAGCTTGCTGCCAAATCCCGCCAGAGTAAGAGTTTTGCTTCGACAAAGTCGGATCAGCGATGTAGAGCGTATCCGACGTGTTGACCCAGTTGTAGCCCGCGTCGAAAGGTGCCCATTGCGCACTCTGACTAAAGACCGGTCAAAACGAAACCGTCTTCTCGGGAAAATGACTCGCCTCACTCGTCCGATCACCTCTTCTTCGATCTATGCAACACCTGAGCTCGGGGGTCCCAACTCGAAGGCAATACACTTACCTGCGCCTCGAAAATATCGATCTCCGGCGCGGACCTGCCGACATAGGTGCCATCCTTGTGCATAGGTCCGGGATGTGATTCGCCTGGGCATACACAGCGGGAGAGTCGTTGTCCTGGAAGATATGACAGCTCCCCCTTGACATCTTTCGAGCCGGAATGGAGCGCAGCAGGAGGCCCAGAGCCATCGGGCAGTGTTTGATTCGGAAGCGTGCCAACATCGCAGGTGTCGTATCTGAACGTTGTCACAGGACGATGAAGGACGGGCAAATAAAACGCACGAGTAGGGCCACATACCCTCGAGGGTAGCGCCACTGTATGGAGTTGAGCACGATATAACGTCGGGCAACCTAAAGAAGACTCACTAGCCAGCGCGTCCAAGATTACCCCTGCGGGATGTTAGCTTTGGGAGCTTGGAATCATCGGGTCAACTCACATAGTCCACACTGCAGGCCAGAGACCAAGAACGTTGGTCGTCCCGGGGAGGTTCACAGCCGCCATGATAAGACCTCCCGTGAAGCAGAACTTGTTCCAGCTGCTAAGCATGCCGCTGCGGTATGACATGTTGTGGTTCTGAGAGATATCCAAAACCTCGTTCATACTAATTTCAAGGGCACCAGCGCGGGTCGTGACGGCCGCGGGGTCGTACCATTCCAGGTCGCCTATGGGTTCATGGTCATCCAGAGGAGCACAAGAGCGGATGATGCATACCAGTAGACCAATAGTGCAAATCGACGGCCTCAAAATACGGGTCATCGCCAGGGTAAAATGTGCGCCCTTCGGTCTCAAACTCGTCGCTAAAGACAAGTTGCATCTCTTTAGTTGGATCGTGGTACGAGTAGATCCTGTGGAACTCCTGTAAAGAGTTTAAAGAGGAGGCGTAGCATAAAAAAGGAAACGCACTTTTGGAGTATCGTTGTCGATCAGTCCCCAATTCGAGATATTAGGCCACACGGGAGCAGTCGTGTTGTTGACGACTGTAGCAGCGCTGGTATTCTTCGCCTTGCTGGTGATGTGCGTGGCGATGGGATATCCCAGGCTAAAGGTGATTAGTGAGCATGGTCGAATTGAAGGAAAGAAAGACGCAACAATAGCCCAATTAGAATGCAAGCCAGCAGTGCGATGCAGCCCACGTTCCAGAATCCTCGGCTCGTGAATATGCTGCCGTTGTTGTGCTTCCGCCCATCGCGTGGATCATGCAAGGCGTCGTCAGCTTCGGGTCGGGACACGTCCGCCCCCCAGTCAGCAGGGTCCGCGGAAAGATGAAACTAGGCAATGTCAGCCAAGAAAAAAGAAAGAGAGGTGGCAAAGGACGCACCCGGTCGGAGATGGAGGGTGCTAAGGACTGCCGCAAGCTACCTGGGACAGGGCTCAGAGGCAAGCTCGATGCACTGCTCGCAGGTGAGCGGAACGGGGAAATGGGAGAGTTGGGGGACGAAGGAAGGAGTTGGTTTGAGGAGGAGTTCAACGCGGCATAGCCGCGCCTTTGGCCAAGCCCGGAGGCGTCACTTTGCATCCGGAAAAAGGGTAGGTAAGGGGCCTAAGGGTAGGGGAGCCAGGTGGAGGTAAAGACGGTGCGAGCTGAAGCGAGCGGACTGGGGAGGTGTATTGGGCGACCTCAGTAACGAGGCAAGCCACGGGAGGAGCGGGCGGGGGAAGGAGGAAGGGGAACACCGAAAATAGTGCGTGACAGCCAAGTCGTAACGCCCATCATCATCAGTCGATCCTGGTGCGAGACTTCTCGTTGTCATGTCGACTTTGACTGATGCGTCTATCGCCGTGGAGACTTTAGCCTCGCGATTCATCCCGCCTCCCGATTAGTTACTGCAGCTAAGGCTACAAGTCTTGAGGGAGCGGGTGGTGCGACTCCCCAATTTCGACGATTCTCAAGCCCATGTGCCCGTCGGCGCTCGATGTCAAAATGGCGGCGTCTAGATCAATGAGCTGTCAATGAGTATCACGAGGCAAAATCGATGTGACTGATGTCCGCAGAATCGGCAGTTGATCGGCAGATGTCCGCTCAATAAAGTCGTGATGACAACAAAGTGTTGACCGTGGCAAACCGATAAGATTTTCGACGGCAAGTACAGGAGGCAAATGGATCAGAGTGCATGAGAAAAAATCATCAGCCTGGGGAAATCTTGGTCTCCTTGAAGCGATATTATTCTCATTCTCATCCTCGACGTTCGAAGTTCCATAAGTAACAATCCGAAGGCTAGACAGTTAGCAACAGTGGGGATTTTCCTTCTCCGAATGGGATTACTCACCAATTCAGCAGTCGACAAAATCTAAGAAAAATCTCCCATGCGACGTCAAGTGTGGGAGAGGTTTTTCGAGGCATCGCCGAGCAAACCCGAAAGCCGAATGATTTCTGCATCGGAGAGCTCCCCATCAGTAAGCTGAGCATCAGCTTACAGACTCATGTTGGGTTGGGTTTACTGTTTGCAGTTCTTCCATGCAAGGCACACCACAATTTATGTATCCGGAAATTCTAAGTACGTCTATACTCTATCCATATGTCAAGCCCCACACTGCTCATATACTATGCGCCTCAACCTCAACCCACATGCGCCCGTTTGCGACGAACGAGGACGGTAGCGACCGTGAATAATAAGCAGCCTACCAGTCCCATGATCTGCCGCCATTAATATTGATATTGCAATGTTTGGGGAGCGAACAACAGGCAACTCACCGCACTGAACAGAGTGGGCCGCCACCACACGAAATGCGAGGTCAGCAGCGCTCCACATAGCGGCGGCCCTGTATAGTGGGATCAACATAGATTCTCAGAGGAAATGCCAATGTGACTCACCAATGAGGCCCCCGATTCCTTCGACAGTGAAGGATATACCCATTCGGAGACTGCAGTTGTTCAGACGCATCCAAGGCAAAGAATTAATGCGCACCCGACTTCGGTGAAGTCATCCGTCAAGGAGGCCAGCAATGAGGGAAGAAGCCCAGCGTCTGTGTGTTTCAACCATATCAGCTTTGGGACATCTGAAGCTGTATAGGGGACTGACAGACGCCGATGAAGACACCCTGGATGGCCGCCAAGACGACCACGCTGGCGACGGTCTTCAATAGGAGCATGCTGAAGATAAGGAGCGTCCCTGCAGCGGTAGAGACCGTAATGACGAGCGTGACGCCAAAGTACTCTGCAAGGAATCCCGCTGTTAGTCGCCCGACCAGCCCGGTCGAGTTCATAATTACAAGCTAGCGCCCCAGTCGTGAATGATATGCCAGGACGGTGAGAGTGCATCGACTTACAACGTAAAACGCAAATGTCTCGTTCATCCCATGTGTCGTCGCATCGAGCTGGAGGAAGAAAATGGGGTACCAGAACGCGATGATGTATGAGAACATGCTGCGGTACCCGTTGTCAGTAAACGAATACCATCAGTGCTAACAGCACCCACGCAATCGTGGCAATAACGTATGGCCGATCGCGAGCGGCGCTTTTCAGAGACCTCCACAACGTCGCAGACATGCTCGTTTTATGTGTTGGCGCTGTCGGTCGCACAGGCGCAATAATTCCAGGCCGCGGTCGCACCAAGAGGCAACCCATGAGCAGGAAGAGGCTTCCCAGAGCCGCACTCACGCGCGTTGCCCCAGCAAAGCTTAGTCGATGCTTCGATCCGGGATGGGGAAGGAGGTTGTTTAGGAGGATTGGGTGAACTAGGCCACCGAGCGGCGTACCAGCCTGAGTGAGCGCCATAACGAGCGAGCGGCGGCGATGGAAATAGTGTGAGACGACAGCGACGGAGGGGACATAAGTTATCCCCAAGCCAATGCCCAAACCAATGCCTTGAGTGAGTAAAACCTGTGAGAAGGTGTTGTATAAGAAGCTTAAGCAAACAATGGGCAACGAGAACGAACCTGATATAACTGCTGCGGCTGACAGAACGATAGCATGAACAGGCTCAGCGCTTGTATGAAACAGCCGAGGTATATGACTGGGCGACTGGGGAAATAAGAGTTTATCGCGTGGAGGAGGAGAACATACACATAGCCGCGGTCGTATAAAGGCCCCGAAATCAGACTGAATGCAACACCGAGGAGAGCGTTGACACTCCCAATCCATCTGCACGATTTGATTTATATTCAGGGAGCGGAGGACATGAGGGACGAACGATATCGCTGAGGGAGATGAATTCGAGAGGTAGTCGCGGACATAGAAATCTGCGGGAACTGTTAGAACAGAAAAGAGCGGAAACAACTGAGAATGACCTTGGTATACACCGAACGCTGTCGTATAGCTGAAACAAGTTCAAGACGGCGCCATGAATGAAAATTGACAACGCACCCAAATCCACAAAAGTTAATCATGAACCTACCGTCTCTGAGCCATGGAATGGGAGGAGAAAGCGCCGACGTACGCTCCAAGAACCGTTAGCCACGCCGTTATACCGCCCTCCGGATACTCAATCTCTACGCCACCACCACCACCTGCAGTCGTCTCTGTCGACGTCTTGACGACAACCTTCTCCACCTCAGAGTCGCTCCGCTTCCCTTCCAGTGTCGGGCGTTCATGGTGCTCCATGGAATTCGGGTGGAGAGTAAGAGAGATTCTCCGTCTCGCAAGCTTCAAGGTCAAATAGCCTCGCACGTGGGAGAAACCTTTGTCGCGCCGTCGGCGAAACGAACTTATGACTCGAATGCCGACCGAGCCTGCGGGCTTCAATGTTCTACCAAGGCGGAGCATAATTGCGACATACCTGCGTCGAAAAATGACATCCGTTGGGCAAGCGAGATGAAGTCAAGTCGTGCTGGGCTTCCACTCGGTCGTGGTTAATATCGGTGGAATTCCAGCAGTGTCCGATAGTGGATGAATAAGGCGGGCTTGGGGAAGCTAGAAGACGCACGGGGGTCCACGGATCGGCCGTCGATAATACAGTTGATAGCATGCGCGTCGAAGTTCACGATATCAATAGTAGTAGGTCCGCGTGGTATGATGGTGAGAGGGAGAAAGAGAAGGGATACGTGACTCGCAGAAGTTGATCCGTAAGAGTTCGTGGTTGATTCTGGTGTGTGGGCATGGTCGAATATAACCATTCATACTACACTGGCACATATGTACAATCGGAGAGTCAATAGCTCCTTTAAATCTATTTGGGATTCAGTCTCTTTCCCCGCACATAACAACTGGATGTCGTACATTGAATTACATAGACAATCCGATAATCGTCTGTACAAGAGCAGGCTGCGAGTGGTAAAAGTCAAGCACTAAGCAGTCTTCAATATTGGACAAAAACTGGCAATATAAATCACACACAGACGATACCAAATCGTTTCCCCTTTCTTTCGGTCAACCATGGCAACAGTCGCTCGTTCATACCGGGCGTTCCCGCACCGTCCCCAAGGGCGATTATCTATACGTCTTGTCAGTGGAAGCATATATACCGATAGAAGAAGACCGACGTTGGGAGTAACAGGAACCGTGTCTCGGTTCGCATGTGCACTGGCGAAGGAAACGTAGAGTGCTTCCGTTGCATTTGAACTGGTGGAGATGGCCTTGTCCAAGTGGGTGGTGACAACCGCAAATTTGGCGGAGATGTTGGCGTCTGGACCAGAATTATGCGGGACGAGGGGCATAAAGTTGTCCTTGCCTGGGTTAGAAAAAAGAGGAAGTAAAAGCAAAAAGGATTGTACTAACTTGGATGTACGCGACCCTGCGTGGTTCCGCACTATACACCAGCTTGATATCGGCCCCGTTTGGCGTCCATTTTGCGGCCCCGAGATGGATTCCATACTCGTGCGTTTCGCCTAGCGCGGGTAAAAACTCGTAGGTAAACCGCTGGAGCAGCACCAGCTTTCCCCGCGCTTCACCAAGCGTACCCAACCGGCCCTTTGTCTGGAGCCAGAACTGCTGCGCAACGGGTGTTGTGAGTGAGGCATGAAGCATAGCCTCGAACTTCTCGTCGTATGTCGTTAGCGAGCCCTCTTCCTGCTGTATTGAGACGAGGATAGTTTCTGTGGGATGATAGACCAGCCAATGGTATAGACCGAAGAGGACATCGTCGAACGAGGTGGTAGGGGAAAGGAGTGCCCGGCCTTGCAGAACAGTAAGAAGAGGTCAACCAACGAAAAGCGCCACACACCATGGTAGAAACCTATTGTGTCCTCCCCTGGATTGTACCCCAACCGCATATCGAATGCCCTTATGCCGTCGTCAAGCGAGTCCAGCAGCGAGCGGTCCTGACAGCGGAAAAAGACGTGAGACCGCAGACTGAGGGTGTGGTCAGTCAGCAAGTCCAGTCTCAATGAGGCACGCACGGTCCCGTGTACTTCTCCAGCTCTGCCTGCCGTTCCGCCGAGTAGTTCCCTTCTGACCCTTAGCCTGGACCCATCTCAAGCGACGGGCTCACATGTGGCACAGTCATGTGTGCCGGGCAGGTTCATGTCCACCAGCCGCGTCTCATCTGGCACGTTTGCCATCCAATGCGCTGTCTTGGGCGGAGGGACGCTGCTCGCTCGACCTGTCACAAAATTGAGCCTTGACGGAATAAAAGCGATGTAAAACTCGCCCAGGATCGGCGCTGCACGCTCGAGGATCTCCTCCAATGCTTTGTCCGCAAGGAATTGGAGGGTTGGCGTTTGTAGCATCATCGTCGAAACAGAAGAGTGTGCGGGAGGTCCATGATATCAGCTTGATGACGTGGGCAGTAATGAATATCATTTCGCAAACCACCGACCCACCAAAGGGCGACGTGTATAACGAGAAAGCTTTGGGGGTATAGACATCCACTGACACACGTTCCTCAATGCCCAAGTTTCCCGTTCGTTCAACCTGCTGGTGGGGTTGAGAGTTTTCGAGACTTCACTTCACTGAGTTCGAATCTTCGATGTTCTTATGGATAAATGATATTCACATTGAGAGTGAAAGTGAAATCATGAATACATATAGTAGTACAGACATGTACAGACATTGGTTTTGTTACTTGATTCTTTCCAATCGAGAATTCGTCCAGCCTTGGCCGTTTGTCCCGGAAATGTCGAAAATTTGCCAAAGAAAAATGATTAGGCCATTCCCATTGCAAACGGGCTGAGAGAAAATAAGCGATGTATCTCGTCCCTTTGGTCCGTAGACAATGCTAAAAGGGCAATCAGTAACATATGAGCAGATGCAATTGCACAATTACCGGAGTTCACGTTGTATGGCTCGTTGGGCGAGCAGCGTGCACAAGGACAGCGACGCGGAGGACGGTCGGGGGACGGCGAGCGGGACGGCGAAGGGGACGGCGATGGTGATGGCTCGGGGTCACTGAATGATATCGTAGTTAGCAAAATAATAGCTGTTAACACGAGCTGGTCGTACATTACCATGGGAGCAACCAGATCCTGTGGTGACAGTGGGGCCGAAACGCTCTCGCTGACCACATCTAACATGGGCTTTGAAGCATGTGGGCCTTCCAGAGGAGTGAGGTCAATCGCCTGATTATGTTCTGGAGAAAAGACAAAAGTACGCACCATCTGGAGGCGCTTCGACGATCACCCACCGCTCCTCCGGTACAGCCTGGGCCACGTCCTGCATTTCCTCAGAATCTCCTTCTTTCTTCGGTCCGCCTGCGAGTTTTGCAGCCTGCTGCAGTCGCAGTGCCTCTTCATTCGCAAGACGATCGAGCCAGGCCAAAAGGGCCCCATCCACATCGACCCAGTCCTCGACTTCCACACCGTCTACGTCCAGCGCGGGTTGACCCGGGCCCGGCGGCGGGTCAACGTGCAGACGTTTTGCCGGGGACTCCCCTTCAGCTTCCACCTCCACAATCGTGCGCCGACGAGCTCTTTCAGCTTGGCGTTTCGCTGTCGAAAACGATGTAATAAGTTCGGATATTTGGCCTTGTGGGTGGGATGGAGAGTCTTCAGTTTGGTCGGCGTCGCCAGGGAGCAGCGCAGCGTTAAATCCCCATATAGGCTCGTGCTGTTCTTCTAAACATGTCACGCAAAAATTTTAATTTAGATGTGGTGGTCACTGGCTAGAGCGAGAAACACACCATCTGGGTCAACAGCCAGATCGAAGGGAGCGACGGGCGACAGTGAACGGGAATCTGGCGGCGAGGCCGGGAGATAGGTGGTATTCATATGAGAGGGTTATATCCGAAAGGTATGAGCGCAGGTATGTGGACTCCAGATGGATGTAGAGAGACGGTGGCTGAGGGTGCGGAGTCAAGCGATGTCACACCACGTGAGTGATTTGATATTGTGACACGGTCGGTGATTGTACGATTTGAGTCGTTGCCCGCGAGTTTCGACTAGTACGGCGCTAATTTGACCCTCAGTCGATGACTGATCAGCCCTTGATTCATGGCTCGGTGAGTATAATGTTGACACACAACTTGAGGGCATTCAGGCTTCACTTTAGTTCCAATGCCACAGAACTTTAACCACAAAGTTGAATTGTGCCAACCATTTAGACTCAAAACAACCGCATGCTAGGCGTCGGTCTCGAGGAAGACGGTCGCGGCTGCTCTACCATACACGACACATCCACATTTTTCAGTATCAGATGACACTCGCGAAGCAAATGCTTCTCGTCTGCCGCCAGCTCTCTCCGCTCCATAGTTTCCTGAAACTTGCGTAGCAACGCAGACTGCGTCTTTCTCTGGTTATAAGATGGTTTAATGGTGAACGCTAGGTGGGCCAGATGTGGTATCTGTCGAAGCCAAGGCAGTATTGCTTGCGCGACGGAGAATGACGGGAGGGTTAGATCTAGGCGGCGAAGGAAGACGAGCAAGGGTGCAATGGAGGCATTGTCGCTCGACCACAGAAACATAGATTTTGCCGTTTCTGGCATGAGATGGACAGAGAGGTCTTGGCCTGATTCGGATGATGATTCCGCCAGAACTGCGATGGTTCTGAGCGTCAAAGCGAGGCTGTTGATCCCAATATCGTCAACGAGGAGCTCAAACGAGCTCAGCCGCGGTGCGTTGGATAGCAAATTGAGCAAGTGTATGGCGTCGCCGTCGGCCTTCCCAAGGTTAAGCTGCAGAACTTTGATTCGGGATTCTGGAAGGTTGGGGCGGGGCAGAAGACTGCCAGTGCTGCAGTTGCAGGGATCATCCGCAGCTCCTGCGATTCGATACTCGAGACGCTCTAGGTGGGGGTGATTCTCGAGAAACGCCACGAGGTAGGAAAGAGCGACATGTTGGGAGAGGTGAAGCGTGATAAGACGATGAAAGCGCGCGTTTTCGAATACAATGCCGGAAAGAGGTCGGATATGGACCGGGGTGAGGTCTCCCCAGGAGAAGTATGATGCATTTCTGCTGTTCAAGAGTAGGATTCCGGCCGTGTTCTGCTCTAAGTTGTCAGAACAGAGTCGGAACTTTGCGTCGAGGAGAAACGGCGGGAGCAAGCACGGCTCAGGATGCAGACAGCGTATGTGGAATAGAGGATTACACATCCGCGCGCGGGGCATGTCGATGTACAAGTTGTCCACGGTGCATGAGAACAGCACGCGAGACGAGCAAATCAAGACCGGACCACCCAGAGAAATCCGTTTCGCCAGCGCCGCAAAGACGGCACATACGAGCATACGGACGGCGTCGGAAAAGCGATACAAGTTGGACCCAAAGAATATATGGAGTGTACGCAGCCGCGGCAGCCGATAGACTAGACGTTCAAGACGGCCAAGCGCCCGTGCGATGTCTATCGCTGTACTGGGCCACGAAGCATGAAACTCGAGTTCTTCGGTGATGAGCTCCTCCCGAGTGATGTATAGGGAAAGCACCGTCAACAAGCCCCCATCTGCCGCTAACCGAAGGGTGGGCTGCAGGAAGGAGTCCAGTTGGAGACCGTGACGGCGGAGGTGGCACTGGATTGCAATTCGATTGAGCTCGAAGGAGATGCCGGTAGGTGGATATAAGGCTGTGCGAGGAGGTAAGCAAGCAAAGATCTCTTCCCAGAGCTCAACAGGCAGCAACTCCAGCGCTGGTTGAAGCCTGGTCTTCATGCTTAGGTGGCAGAAAAGAAGCTGTGTGCAATGACAGGCGTGGTATTGATCCATATATATTAATTGCATCAGGAAGTGTGGCCTGAATTGGATGAATTCTGGGCCTAAATTGGACTCCACCTACGAAAATTTGACAAAACATCTCTGCATGTATGCCATTCACACCTGCACCATCTGCTTTCGAGAAATATTCCCCTGAATTAAGGGGGGTGCCAAAATACAAATTCTGATTTATCTACACAGTGTCAATTTTTTCCGGGTCTTTGTACACCAAGTTGTACACTGCTCCTACCTTATAGACAGTAACAGTTGAGGCTACTGGGTCTCCTTAGCACTGAATAGCATTTTATCTTTCTTAATTTGGCAATATAATCAATGGGCAGTTTACTTTTGATATCTGTTTTATATTGAAAGGCACTATTACAGCTTAAATGAGGCCTGAGATCAAGGTCCTAGCAGGGGGAGGATCCAAAGAGAAGAAATTCTAAGGGTCTGCCTGCTATAGGGTGCTGTGAGTTAGAGGTGTTTCGAAACCCATTTCGAAATGGTTTCGAAACACCTGTGAGTTTTGAAATCAGCAGGTGCTGGGACCTGTTTCGAAACCGACAGGTGATATCTCCGATATCCCCGAGCGGGCCGAGTCTTGGTCACCAGGGCAGCCGTCAATGACAGCTGTCAAATAACTTCCTTCTCCTTCCCATGGCGCCAAAAGTCCCAGCTCCGCCGAAAATTGGAGCACTGTATTATGCGGAGCCAATTTGATGGCTCGAGAAGACACTTAGATCACTCCCTACATCCATCCCACTGGGATCAGACCACGACTTCTGCAACTTCACGCTCCGTACTGACGCCGTGGTGGAGCTTGGCTGCAAGCAACCCGTCGTGAATCAGGACCTTGAACGCTCTTTCGGCACACGCACTGGCGGGACGGTGATCAAATTCAAGAGTAGGGGGCCGGGTTTGGAAGCGGTTGCTGTGGTCCTTTGCGAATATATTACGGGTCCTGCTGGACAGAATGTCCTCCTCATGAACTGGGTCGACTTTAATCGTAGCTGCAGAGGTGGCAATTGGAAGAGATGGAAAAGTCGTGCGTAACCACACATTATCTTCTTATTGACCTGACAATTCTGTCTAGCCTTGTGAACGCAAGGAAACGGGCAAGAAGCGCCAGCGACAGGAGGAGCAGGATGTGGAGGATGCTGAGAAGTGTCAAAAGTCAGATGCGGGTTTGCAGAAGAAAGTAAATGGAGCAATTGCAACAGCGGCGGCAGAAGTGACACAGCAGGGAACGGTGCGTAAACAGCAGCTCAATACCTTCTATGGCTAAATGACTACAGATCAGCTGGGCTTTCGATGACCTTGTTGACACTGCCATTAAGGAAAAGGGTGGATGCGGCCGGACTTCCAACCCCCTTCTCGACACACTCACGATCCGTTGTCAAACGATGGCTCTCAACCCCAAGACAAAACAACCCTGGCAACGACACCATTGTGCAGGTCCCGGCTGCAAGGAGAGCTGGGCACATCCTTGGAACACTCCATGGATCTTCAAACATGCCTTAACCTGCCCCAAACTCACTGAAGAACAACGCGCCAGGGCGACTGACGCGAGCATCAAGAGTGCACTTTCCACTCAGCTTGAGCAAGCGGAAGCAGAGCAAGGCAATGAGGCGGAGATGCGGGAGGTAACCAATGACCCGTTCCAGCCATTTCACATCGCGTGGGGTCAAGACAAGAAAAAAGCGCTCAAGTGTTTTCAAAAACGCAGTAACTTGCTGCTCCTCGAGTATCTGTGTGTTTCGGGGGGCGCTGTTCGCCACGTTGACCTTCCCATCTTTCGCAAACTCGCCTAACACCTCAATCCACTGCACGGCTTTCATTCCTCCACCACAATGTCGGCAAACATCCATCGCGAAGCGCTCAAGCATACACGCGCTGACATCAAACGGCTTCGAAAAATTGATAACTTGACTCTGTCCTATGACGGGGCGACTCTTTTTGGGCAGTCGGTTTATACCGGACATGTAACGACCCCCAAGACTTAGCCGTAGTGGTAATATTTAGGCTAAAAAGCTCTAGGAATAGCTAGAATAGCGGTAGCCTAGAAATCTAGGTATTCCTAGTCCCTATGTTTTAGCAGTGTAATTACTATGATATTATTCTTTATTTATTTATTTTCTGCCTTTATATTGACTTAATTTTGATGGGGATTGTGATCCTTGATATATATTATTGATGTGGAACGATTTTTGATAGCCATCCGTAGTTTTAATCACTGTGTCAAGCTATATCATTTTGGTCCCAATCAGGATAATCCTGAACACAGGCCTTCCCCACTATATACCGGGTTATCGGCCTGAAGAAAAGGAGTTAGCATTACTATATATAGTATTTTTAGCATCAAATCTATCAATTAAGAACCCATTTCTAAAGTCTTTCTTGGCTGGGAAAAGTCTTCCTAGAGTTTTAGGCTACTGCTATTCTATCTATTCCTAGACCCTAGGCTAAATCTTATACCTACTAACAGGTCGTTTGCATACAGGAGCTCAAATCGAAGGGATACTTACAAAGGTCTGACCACCATATGTAGCCGCGGACGCTGAAGAACGATTCCAATAGCTGATTGATGTTGAAGATTGACGTGTCAGCGGTGTGACTTGCCGCGATCCTTCCAGAATCTTCTGTGTATTTGCTTATTCACCCTTCAGAACATTGTAGAACTTACTAGTACATAGCCTGTATGTATATAAACCCAAAGAATATTCAGCGTTGGGCATTGTTTGCCCTAACGCATAGATCACTTACCTGATTGTGATTGCAAACTCTTCGACGCTTTTGATTTATTCACTCTCCGGATCAATCGGTCCTTCAACAATTGAAAGTATTGGCTCGCTAAAGTTCGCTGCTATCGTCTCCGACAACACGGGTAACATGCGTGTCGCGCACAAGAATATTGCCGTCAAATATCCGACCATTATAGCGCTTGCTGACGCGCCGCACCATCTCTCGAACCTGATTAAAGACATCTGCCGGCTTTCACATTTTGAGGAGGTTAGTACCATCTTTATCTTTGTCCCTCGATCCCGAGTCTCACGCTAATGCAATTCGAAGGGTATCTCAAGAATGTGTGTCATCATCACGTTCTTCTCATCATCCACGTAGGCAGGCACTCATCTCAAGGCAATGCGTGTCATCCTTGGAGTGCGCAAGGGCTTAGAAGTTGTTGGGAAGACACGATTCACGACCATCTACTGGTCCGCATACGCGTTGTTGCGCAACTTGACGAGCATCCACGAGCTTGTGCGCTTAGGTGTTGTCAAAATGGATGGAAGCGAGGTACGACCGCGGATAAATGTGATGAAGCAAGTGTAAAGCTCACACCTATCTGCTAGGAACAATCTCATCTAGCTTTCCTCCGAAGCATCCTGCAGTACAACGCTTTCAAAATCTCATCCACCTCTGTTGCCGACGTGTTCAAGTTCTATGTCGCCATTATGGCCGTTCAGAGCGACATTTTCCGGGATAACAGTCATGATATTCCACCGGATGTTATTGCCAAGATTCGTGTGATTGTTAATACTCGGTACGAGCAACTGATTGGGAGTAATAATATTTATGTTTCGGGTTTCTTTCTTGATCCCCGTATGTCCGTTCACTTGTGGTTTTCCATTGTTTACTAATGAATTTAAGAATATGTTTCAAGCCCGTTCTTGCACCCCACGTCTACCACAGTGCCGCTGCCACCGACAAGTACTCCCATTGTCGGAACACCTACCACTATGACTCCGACGACGGCTCCAGTAGCCCTGATAGGCCCCGACCACGACCTTCGAGAAAGCATCTCCACTTATGCTATTGTTGGCAAATATCTTTTCGACCTCCTCAAAAAACATCTCAAGGCCATTATACAACAGTAACGGCTATTCTTGATGTGCTGCACTCACAATATAAGGCATACACCCATCAGCACGCGCCCTTCAATCGGCGCGACCCAGCATGGACACGGGCATATCTCTATTGGCGAGCTATGATTGCTGAGTCCGATGCAGCTGTTCTTGCAGTATGTCACAGTCGTCTGGTGATCAATGACTTAAATTCTCTTAGTTTGTGGCTCTCAAGATATTCGCTATCATGCCGACCTCTATGCCAGAGGAGCAGACAGTCTCAGTATTTACAAAACTCACTCCAAAGGACCGTAACCGTCAAGACGTGTCCAGTACTGTGGCCATGGCCAAGGTTCATGCACACATCGTTCGACAGGACTCCGACAAGAAAGAGCCGACTGCGCCGAACTTAAACTGGCGCCCTGTGAAGACATTATTCACCATCAACGATAGCACGGCCCCTTCAGGATCACCACAACCAGAGGTGTTGGAGCTAGACTCAGACTCCAATGATGACACAGCAACGGACGACTCGGACCTCAACATACTCAATAGTTGGGATGGCCCATCGGTAGTTGCCTTCAAGAAGGCATCGATGGCTGCAAACACTGCTGCAGCGGCGAACACTAGTCTGAAAGCCCTCGATGGTGATCAGGCATCTCCGGATGAGCTCAAACTAACCCGCAGCCAATTGGATACATCATTTGAGGCTGAATGGTATGCTGATATCTCACATACATTCTTCCAAGATCTGCTGAGCAACAAGCCAATGGGTGGGGCAGTGGTGGATGTTGTTACTGACGCAGAGGTGGCGCAAAGCGTACGAGAAGAAGGAGTGGTCGAGGAGTGTGTGGACAATATAGAATTCTAGATAGGTAAAATTGCCTAATATAGAAATATGGTTTTGAAACACCTGTGAGTAATGTAAATTGAATTACTCACAGCACCCTAGCCTGCTAGGTAGCTGACTATATACTACTTGTCTGCAGCTGCCACTGTCGGGCACAGAAGGCTTGGGTGGTGTCACAGGCCAGGTCCCAGGGCCTGGAAGGTGGATACAACTTTTTTCAGTTCTAGAACAACAACTCATTTCTCCCAGCCAAGTTGTACCTAAAG